AGGATTCCTTCGGATTCGCTAGCATTCCTTCAGGATTCCCTTAGGATTCCCTCAGGATTGCTAGGCGCTCATGCACTTCAAGGATTCCTGAGGCGCGCAAGCGCGAACCCGGACGGGAACGGCGTGCGGTCTGCGCAAGGATTCCTTAGGATTACATTAGGTTTTTCTGGGGATTCGGTCGGATTCCTTTGGGATTCCTTAGGCTTCCTTCGGATTCGCTTGGTTTCCTTAGGATTTCCTTCGGATTCGCTAGCATTCCTTCAGGATTCCCTCAGGATTCCTTCATGATTCCTGGGCGCTCATACACTTCAGGGATTCCTGAAGCGCGCAAGCGCGAACCCGGACGGGAACGGCGCGCGGTCTGCGCAAGGATTCCTTAGGATTCCATTCGGATTCGCTGAGGATTCGGTAGGATTCCTTAGGACTCATCCGGATTAGCTAGCATTCCTTCAGGATTCCCTTAGGATTCCTTCAGGATTCCTTGGCGCTCATACACTTCAGGGATTCCTGAGGCGCGCAAGCGCGAACCCGGACGAGAACGGCGTGCGGTCTGCGCAAAGATTCCTTCGGATTCCACTAGGATTCGCTGAGGACTCGCTAGGATTCCTTGGGATTCCTTAAGGGTCCTTCGGATTCGCTAGGTTTCCTTAGGATTCCGATCCTTCAAGATTCCCTGAGGATTCCCTCAGGATTCCTGGGCGCTCACACATTTCAGGGATTCCTGAGGCGCGCAAGCGCGAACCCGGACGGGAACGGCGTGCGGTCTGCGCAAGGATTCCTTAGGATTCCATTCGGATTCGCTGAGGATTCGGTGGGATTCCTTGGGATTCCTTCGTATCCGCTAGCATTCCTTCAGGATTCCCTGAGGATTCCCCGAGGATTCCTAAGCGCTCATGCACTTCAGGGATTCCTGAAGCGCGCAAGCGCGAACCCGGACGGGAACGGCGTGCGGTCTGCGCAGGGATTCCTTAGGATTCCATTAGGATTCGCTGAGGATTCGGTAGGGTTTCTTTGGGATTCCTTGGGGTTCCTTCGGATTCGCTAGGTTTCCTTAGGATTCCCTGCGGATTCGCTAGCATTCCTTCAGGATTCCCTTAGGGTTCCCTCAGGATTCCTAGGCGCTCATACGCTTCAGGGATTCCTGAGGCGCGCAAGCGCGAGCACGGACGGGCACGGCGTGGGGCGTGGGGCCCGGACGGGCGCGGCGTGGGGCGTGGGACCCGGACGGGCGCGGCGTGGGGCGCGGGACCCGGACGGGCACGGCGTGGGGCCCAGACGGGCACGGCGTTCCCTAGTAGTAGTAGTAGTAGTAGTAGTAGTAGTAGTAGTAGTAGTAGTAGTAGTAGTAGTAGTAGTAGTAGTAATAGTAGTGATAGTAGTAGTAGCAGTAGTAGTAGTAGTAGTAGTAGTCGTCGTCGTCGTCGTCGTCGCCGTCGTCGTCGTCGTCGTCGTCGTCGTAGAAGTAGAGGTAGAAGTAGAAGTAGAAGTAGTAGTAGTAGTAGTAGCAGTAGTAGCGCAAGAACTCGTAGTAGTGTTATATTATTACTACTATTATCATTATTATTATTACTAGTATTATTAATATTATTAGAAGTAGTAGTAGTAGTAGTAGTAGCAGCAGCAGCAGCAGCAGTAGTAGTAGTAGTAGTAGTAGTGGTAGTAGTAGCAACAGTAGCAACAGCAGTAGAAGTAGAAGTCGAAGTAGAAGTAGAAGTAGAAGTAGAAGTAGAAGTAGCAGTAGAAGTAGTAGTAGTAGTAGTAGTAGTAGTAGTAGTAGCAGTTGTAGCGCAAGAACTCGTAGTAGTGTAATATTATTACTACTATTACCATTATTAGTATTACTGTTATTATTATTAGTATTAGTAGTAGTAGTAGTAGTAGTCGTAGTAGTAGTACTACTACTACTAGTAGTAGAAGTAGTAGTAGTAGTACTAGTAGTAGTAGTAGTAGTAGTAGTAGTAGTAGTAGTAGTAGTACTACTACTACTACTACTACTACTACTACGACTACTACTACTACGACTACTACTACTACTGCTACTACTACCACTACTACTACTAGTGCTAGTTGTATGAGTAGTAGTAGTAGCAGCAGTAGTAGTAGTCGTGGTTGTAGTAGTTTTGGTAATAGCAACTAGCAGCAGCAGCACCAGCAGCAGCGCAGCAGCAGCAGCAGCAGCAGCAGTAGTAGTAGTAGTAGTAGTAGTAGTAGTCGTCGTCGTCGTCGTCGTCGTCGTCGTCGTCGTCGTCGTCGTCGTCGTCGTCGTCGTCGTCGTCGTCGTCGTCGTCGTCGTCGTCGTCGTCGTCGTCGTCGTCGTCGTCGTCGTCGTCGTCGTCGTCGTCGTCGTCGTCGTCGTCGTCGTCGTCGTCGTCGTCGTCGTCGTCGTCGTCGTCGTAGAAGTGGTGGTAGTCGTGCTAGTCATCGTAAAAGACTGCATTTCGAGGAAGAAGGAGCAGCAGACGCAGTAGTAGGAACTATCGTTGCAGAATAGGTGATGGCAGCAGGAGAGGCAGCAGTAGGATGAGCAGCAGAAGCGGGAGGAGCAGCAGGAGAAAAGGAGGAGCACCAGGGGAGCATCAGGAGCAAGCGAAGGAACACCATGAGGAACAGCACAAGGAGCAATAAGAAGAGAATGCATTAGGAGGCGCAGCAAGGGGACAGCAGGAGGATAACCGGAGCAGCAGGAGGCACTGCAAGAGCAGGAGCGAGAGGAGTAGCAAGCCAGAGCAGCAGAAGGAGCACCAGGGGGAGCACAGGAGGATGAGCACGTCATCATCAGGAGGAGCAGAAGAAGGAGGGGGAGGAAGAGAAGGAGGAAGGGCATGAGTATAAAGAACACTGGAGGAGCAAGAGCATCAGGAGGAGCAGCAGCAGGGAGGAGAGCAGCAGGAGCAGCCACAGGAGCAGCCGAGGCAGCAGCATTAGAAAAAATAGCACAGCAGGAGGAGCAGAAAGATCAACAGGAACAGCTGCAGAAGGAGCAAGAAAAGAGCATCACGAGGAGCAGCGGGAGGATCAGCAGGAAAAGCAGCAGCAAGAGCAGCAGGAAGAGCAACAGGAAGAGCAGCAAAAGTGGCGGTCAAAGGACCAGCAGGAGGAGCAGCCAGATAGCAGCAGAAGGAGCAGCAGGAACAGGACCAGGAGTAGCAGGAGGAGCAGCAGCAGGAGAAGCAGCAGGAGCAGCAGCAATAGAGGAGCAACAGGCGGAACGGCGAGAGAAATAGCAGGAGGGCCAACAGGAAGAGCAGAGGCGGAGAAGGAGGAAGAGGAGGAGGAGGAACACCGGTGAAGGAGCAGGAGGAGCACAGGAGCAGCAGCAGGAGCAGCAGAAGCAGCAGCAACACCACAGCATTCCCGGCGTTCCTGGCATTCCTAGCGAACCGGATGCTTGCGAGCGCCACAGCATGCTTGTGAGCACCAAGGCATGCCTGCCAGCACCACAGCCCGCCCGTGCGCATTGCGCCATACCTGAGCGTTTCCCGTCACCACCCACGAATACGTTCGACACCGTCGCAGAAGGGGGGGGGGGGAGCGACTCCCCGTCACGGAGGCTACGGGTTCAGCCAATAAAACAAAACTCTCAAGCAGGCCAAAAACATGAACTGCCGCAGTTTGCGGTGATGTCTTGGGTCGGCGCTGGCCCCCCCGCCCCTGGAGCGCCCGGTGCGCCGAGGGCAGGTCCAGGGGCGGCGTCGGAGGCGCCGCCACGGGAATGGGGGGTCCAGCGCCGACGCAAGAAACCCACGCGGACCTCTAAAAATACATGATTGCGCAGGCTTGCTGCTCTGGCAATGAACGGCACGGTGAGGGCATTATAGAAGGAGCCCTCAGGTAAGAAATCCAGAGACTGGAAGCTGGCAGAAGATCAGTTGAGGCTTGGCCATGGACATTGCCGCCGCCCTCATCGGGCAAGGAATCCTCCAGGGTCTGAAACCTTCATGGCACATTCCTCAACGAGCACCCCCACCGTAGTGGAAAGCCGGGCCGCCAAGGTGCCCAGCCTGGCAACCCTGGACCCCCCGAAAAAAACAACTTTTGCCTTCCGAGGGCGAACCCGCCGCCGTTGCGCTGCCGCCGGCTTCCGCCAGTCTGCCGCCGGAAGGTGAGCCTGCCCCGAGGACGAAGCTCCTGCTGGAATGAACTCCTTGGGGCCATCAATGCTGGCCTCAGTAATGTACACCACCACCACCACCACCTCCATTCTCCCCCCCCTTCATCCACCCTCATCTTCCTCTCCCCTTCCCTGGGAGAGGGAGGGCATGAGGGAGGTGGTGGTGGTGGTGGTGGTGGTGGTGGTGGTGGTGGTGGTGGTGGTGGTGGTGGTGGTGGTGGTGGTGGTGGTGGTGGTGGTGGTGGTGGTGGTGGTGGTGGTGGTGGTGGTGGTGGTGGTGGTGGTGGTGGTGGTGGTGGTGGTGGTGGTGGTGGTGGTGGTGGTGGTGGTGGTGGTGGTGGTGGTGGTGGTGGTGGTGGTGGTGGTGGTGGTGGTGGTGGTGGTGGTGGTGGTGGTGGTGGTGGCGGTGGTGGTGGTGGTGGTGGTGGTGGTGGTGGTGGTGGTGGTGGTGTATACCTTTGGGCCGCGCGTCTAGGGGCTCGCTCGAAACCTTTGCGGGCCGTCTTAGGGCCATCTGGGAGGCGATGGATCAACGAAGCGGGGGTCCCCGATTGGCGCCCGCCAACATGGTCCCAAAACCTCTGTAAACTCAATGATTTTTGCCTTGACGCTGAGGCGTTCTTCACGGACGCTCTGCCGGCCCGCGGGGCATCCCCTCCAGACAGCAGGTTCGTGTCGTGCCGACCCGGGCGTCGATTCCTGGCACCGCGGGGATCGTTCAACCTTGAACGATCGGCCGTTTTCGGAATGCCAGATCGTTCAACATCGACCGATTCTGAGTCGCCAGCGGTGTCCATCGTTGAGCGCCGGCGGCGGGGTCGCCGCCAGTCGACGCGATTCGAACCTACCGTATAGACCCAGGTGGCGACTGGAGGATGCGCGCGCGCGCCTGGGCGTCCGCAACCGCATCGACGCGCTCGGGGAGTCGGCCGCGACGCTGACGGGTGTGCTGCACCGGCTGGGGCCGCGGCCGCTGCGGCGCCGCTCGACGACGACTACAGTCGGGCTGTTGACATAAGGAACGATAAACAAGAAAACAAAAAAAGAATTGGCCTTACACGCACCTGCGTGCACGAGGAGGGCTAGACGAACAGCCATGGACGGATTCAAGGAACACCGGGCCATTTCCGAACCCAAACTGATCCTCATTTCAGCGCCTTGGCTGTACCACTACGGACACTGCGGTAACAACATTGACGACGATGACGGCGACGGCAACGGCGACGGCGACGGCGACGGCGACGGCGACGGCGGCGGCGGCGGCGGCGGCGGCGGCGACGACGACGACGGCAACGACGACGACGGCGACGACGACGACGACAGCGACGGCAACGGCGCTAGCGACGACGTCGTCGACGGCGGCGGTGGCGACGACCTCGGAGAGTTCGCGCCGACGCGGACATGCGCGCGACCCGCGGACTGGGCGCCCCCCGAGCGCTTCGAGGGAGCGCTCCGCTGGAGCGCGTCGTCGTCGTCATCACCGACGTCGTCGTCGTCGTCGCCGTCGTCGACGTCGCCGAACTCGTCGTGGCAGGACCTCCTGGACGTGGCTCGAGGAGCCGGCCGGCGACGCAGCGAGGGCCGCCAGGGGACCGCCGGCGTGCGTTGGCCGCCCCGAGAGGAGGGCTCCCGCCCCGAGGACCTCCGCCATTCCCCGACGGTCTACGCCATCACCATCATCATCATCATCATCACCACCGCCAGCAGCAGCAGCAGCAGAAGCAGCATCGTCGTCGTCATCATCATCGCCCATCACCACGGCCATCAAATCACAACCACCACCAACTTCAGCATCTCCATCATCATCGCCATCAGCATCACCACCACCACCATCATCATCAGCAATCGATCGGAAATAAACGTCCATCACCTGGCAGTCATAATCAGCAGCAGAAGCATCAACATCATCAGCCTACTCATAACCACTATCATCATCACCACCATCAGCAGCATCATCATCATCATCAGCAGCAGCAGCCGCAGCATCCGCATCATCATTATCGGCGTTGTCATCTTCATTATCAACATCATCACCATCATAAGCATCACCAGTATCAGTATCATCAACATCATGATCATCATCATCAGCATCATGATCATGACCATCATTATCACCACCATCAGCATCAGCATCACCACCATCATCAGCACCATCATCACCATCACAATCGTCGACGTCATCGTTGTCGTCATCGCCATCATCATCATCATCATCATCATCACCGGCAAAAGCAGCAGCGGAATCGTCATCATCATCACCACCGGCATCACCATCACC